AGTAATAATAATAGTAATAATAATAGTAATAATAATAGTAATAATAATAGTAATAATAATAGCAATAATAATAGTAATAATAATAGGAACAATAATAGTAATAGCAACAGTAATAATAATGGTAATAATAGTAATAATAATGGTAACAATAGTAATAATAATGGTAACAACAGTAGTAATAATAATAATAATCATAATATTAATTTTGATGAATAATAATAACAATAATATAGTAATAATAATGATGCGTGAATTTATTTTGCACATGAAATCAAACTTTGCACTTTTTTCAAATTATATAATCTGCTTTCAAATTCTTTACATAATACTTATTTATGCAGAGATTTAAAAAAAAATTTCCCTCTTTTCGCAATCCGTTATAATTAAAAGAGGATTAAAAAAAAATGATGTTGCAGAAAGATGCTTATTTACATGTTCGTTATAATCTTGGATCTCGCGATCATGATGTTGCTTTTCTGGATGCTTTATTAAATGATGATAAGCATCATGCTGTTATCATATACCGACAAGAAGCGAACTTAACTCTTTACATCGATAATCGTCAACCAATTTATTATTCTCCTCTTGGTAATCTATTACTTTAAAATAGGAATATTCTCCGAGAATCTCCGATCAATTATTCAATCAACTTTTTTTTAGAATTAATATGCAAAGAAATTCCACTTAATCGTAAATAATGCATTTTAAACATACCATAAATTCAGCATTAGTTAAAAAGTACGAGTGAGATAAGAATCGTATTATTAAAATGAAAATAATCTGCCAGCAGACAACAATACTAGAAGTGTAGCCAATTTTTTTAGCTGAAATTAATTAAAGCACTCCAAATATTTTAAAATTTAACTAATTTAACTGAAGTTAAAATCCAAAAAGCCTTAAAAAAGCTTTCAAAATGCAAAAAAATAACTCAAGACACAAAAATTAAAATGATTTGTAACCGTATATATTCAAATTACTATACACTAATGACTGATTATAATGAGTAGCTAGGAATTTTGAATTATCCATGAGGGATATCACATTAATATATCATTTATCAGGTGATAATCTGGAACTTGTTACATTAAACATGCAATGGAGGGTAACAATTGGTGCATCATTTAATTTGTTACATCGTACAAAGCGACGGAAACGTGAACGAATCTATGATAGCTATAATGGTTTCATCTCAGGTGTCAACTTTAATGGCCTGATGATATTGGATATGCTGGCACAAGGTTTATTTTAATGATACACCTCATTTATATTGCACATTTATTCACACATACTGCATCAAATCAACTCCTTCTTTTTAGTGACATTATCGAAGTGACGAGTTTGAAACTTTCATATTGCATTGCAAATAAAAGTTACTGTTACATTTTTTAAAAGAAAAAATACTTACAATTTTTGATTAAACGTGATTATATTATTTAATGAATTTTTTTTTTATTGAAACATTTACTCAGTTGCAGTAGCAAAAAAATTGTTTAATTTTGTAAAATTTTGAGCTCTGTGAATTATTTTAGCATGTAAAAAATATTTAATTAATTTGAAACAATTGCCATCGATAATTTTAATAGTTTTGCAAGAATATTTTTTATCAGCAGAAAGAAAATAGCTATCATTTTAAAACATTTATAATCGATTAGCAGAAAATTTTAATCGAATATCAAGTTATTGCACGTAATGAAGAAGAAAAAATTCAAAAAAAAAAATTTTTTTTCCATTATTCCTGTAAGAAATTTTCAAGTTTTCTTTTTTAGAAAATTTGCAAAAATGATGAACGGATGCAGGTTGAATCTATTTAAATTTGCTCTTTTTTTTTTTCAATTGATGTTTTAAAACATCATTACTGGATTCATTATTGAATGTGATCAAAATCAAATATCTCAAAGCAATTCTTTTTTTATAATTTATTCAAATCTAAAGATTAGTTCTTGAAGAAAAGAAAACTTTTTGCAAATAAAATGGATAGGGGTCAATTGGATAATTTAAGAAGCTGAAGGAAAAAAAAAATCTCAAGTACAGAGATATATGCATGAGCGGGATGTTAAGAGGGAAACGAAATTGGAAGAAGAATAACACTCTCTCCCTCCCTCCTCCTCCTCTCTCTCGTTTCAGACATTCAGTCATCATTTCCTAATGATTTTCAATGAAATGGAAAGTCACACTGGTCAGTCACCACCACTAACCACACCATCATCGCTCTCTTTTCAACAATGTAGTAATAATTTTTATTGATGCCTTCTATTTGCACATATTTTTATTGGCTTTCTCAGCCTAATATCTTTTCCACTGATCATTTCGTATTTTTATCATAGCTATTTATCATAGATTTCTTTTTTTTTTTCATCTTCATTTTCATCATTTGAAATGCTTAAATTTTGCGAGAATTTGGAGTGAATCGCATATATGTCAGGTATTAATGAATTAGTTTATAATTCATTTTATTTATTTATTAATTTTTTAAATACAATGCCTAGTTTTCTTTTTTTTGCTTAAAAAAATTTAATTTTCAAACTAATTTATTTAAAAATATCGCATGAATAACAAATGAATGAATTGATGGAAATAATCGAAGATGAGTGCAAAAGGTGGTGCGAGAAGTAATTTTCATTAAAATGAAATGTAGGAGAAGATTGGAGAGCGATGTTAAACGAAATGGATAAATTAATGGAAGAGAAAAAAATAAATGCATATGATTCATTGCATAATAATGAAGTTTAAGATTTAAATTTCACATCCTCACTTTCTCAATAACTATCATTCATGCATTTCTGCAAATGAAAACGAAGGTCTTATATCAAAAAAAAAAGAAGTTCGATTCCTTATTTTTTTCTCACACTTCTGTCTTTTTTTTTTCCTTCATACTGTTTAATTTCATATTTTCTAAATTATTTAATATCCAAAAAACTATTGGATATTGAATCATTTACAAAATATAAAATTTGTTTACAAAAAAGTATAGTTTGTAGAACGAATATACGCAGTACTGCTAATGGATCAGTTAGGCTAGCAATGGATAATATTTACATTATGTCTTATCTATTGTGCAAAAAACAAAAAAAAAAAAATTGTAGCACAAATTGTAGAAAAAAGGGAAGAAGAGGGAGAGAGAGAGAGAGAGAGAGAAAGAGGAAGAAATTGGGAAAAAAGTTAAATTAAGTAACTAAATGATAATTTTTACAATAAATGAAATTGTTATTGAAAAATGGAATTACTTCTTTCTTTTTTTTTCGAAATGTATACATTTCATCCTCGAATATGAGTACATCAAAGAAAAAGTGGACGAGAATGGTAGAAAATAAATGAAAAGAAATTTTTTTTTCTAAAATTCACAAATGAAGTGAAATGGATAGAAATGGATTAGTCCATCCATTAGATAATAAAGCATATTTTGTTGTGACAGTGAAACTGTGAAGGAGCGCTAAAAGCCATACCAAAAAAAAAGAGCCATTTAACAATTTTTCTCTTATCTTAATTCCATTCTTAATACTTCCTCTTCCCATCTATTCCATCATTTTCACTGAAATTTTAAAATTTTCATATTTTATTCTAATTTTTTAATTTTTTGTTTAGTTTTTGAAAGTATCCGTTCTCATTTAATTATAAAGTGAATATATGCTAAATTCATTTCTTTTTCACTACTCTAAATTTTGTTTTTTTATTGAATTTTTGAAATATTCAAGTTTTATTAAAATTGCACAACGTTAAATTTTAATTCTTATCAAACTGCAGACAAATATTATTGCATATACATGTTTTGTTGTGAATAAAACTAGCAGTTGCCGGTTATCATGTGAGACATATCTTCGAGAAGCTACGAACAAATTAAGTCAATGCAACATTTCTGATGGGTGGTTTATTCTACGAGATCCTCTGGCACTATATAGTTTTATTGGAATGTTTAATTATTGTTACTGATATGCAATGATATACAATGGTAATTTTATTATTCGGAATTATATGAAACTAAATATGATCATTTGTTTGGTGATTCAAATTATTTTCAAAAATTTTCGGAAGATTTATCAATTTATTCGTTTTTGTAATAAATTTACTGCAGACTACTTGAAATAATATTACATTCATGTTTAATTAAGATATTTCATCACCAGTAACTGGGTAGTTTTTTCCTCATTTTTATTTTTCTTAAAATTTCAATTAAAAAATTTTTTTTTTCTTGCTTTACTATATGAAGCAATATAAAATGCCATTATGAAAAAAGTTTAAAGAATGAGGGAAAATTTGATCATATTTGTTGTTCCAAGTAGAATTTTCAAATATCTACAAGATGAGCTTATTTTTCAAGCACCTATTACTCAGTTTATTCCGAAATGCATTTGAAGATGAAATGGTCGTCAATATTAGCCGGATAATTGAGGCATGCATCTCATCATGTATAGGTTTTACCTTATTACATAGCTAATGGTCCTTAAATGAACAAGTCCTCCCCTTCCATTTTTGGTCTTTGTCCTATTTACTCTAGTTTAATATATTTTAAGTATTATATTTTCATACTCCTCTTTCTCTCTCTTTTACTTCATATACCGCCCAGTGTTTAAGACTGAGAAAACTGGAATAGCCTGAAGCCAAAGCGTCAGACTATAAAAGCTTTCAAAAGCTATTCAATGATTGCTGGATTCAACAAAACAAAAGCTTGTATACTTTAGTTAAACTTGAGTTAAACCAAGTCTAAATCTGATTCATTTAGAGTTAAACCAAATCTAATTCTGATTCATTTCACTTCTTTTTTAAGAGAAAAAAAAGAATGCACCTAAGATTTTTCCCATTTCTCTTTGAAATTCTATAAATCTAATTTATTCTATTCATTTTTATTCCTTAGCACTTCTTCCATCATTTGATTTTCCAAGTTTAATTATATGTTTTTGACATTTTCATCTTCATTCTTTTCTTCCGCCTCCTCTCCCTTCCCTTCATTCCATACTCATTTCTTTTTTCTAAAATGACCATGATTGAAGTTATTTTGTCAAATCTAATATTTATATATATGCTTACTCGCCCATTATATTATGCTGATCAAATGATGTATACATACTGATTGCTTGAGCTAAGTCGAAGATAATTTCAGGCTATTCTATATTTAATTATTAATTATTTATAACACCCAAGATATTTTTAGTAGTATCAGTATGTACCACTCTGAAAATAATATTAAATTCATTTTTTTTTACTTCAAAATAAATCTCTCCACTTCATCGTCGGATTTTAGTTAATTAATTTTTGTTTTAAATAGTAGCTTTATTCGTTTTTACTCAGATTAAAAATAAAATCCTCTTTTTAATGTTGGCCTTGATAGTTAGTTTCATATGATAGTTGCATTATCAATTTGTTGTGAGCTCACTGATGAGGGAAAAAAAATTTATCTTTTTTTAATAGCTCTAAAAGCTAAAATGCGGTATGTTTAAAAGTTGCAGTGTCGAATTGCACTGCGATTTTTTTTTCTTATATAAAATTTCAGCTTATTTCGAGATTCCTTTGGAATTTGAAAACCAATTTTAATATCTCTACATATTTCAAATTTTTTAGCAAATAGATTTGTTTGCTAAATCCTATCATTTCAAGTTCATGAAATAATAAAATGATATCTTGTGAGATTGAAAATACGATTCAGCAAAGCTGGTAAATTTTTTAAATGAAGCATTTAATTGAAATTAATTTGTCAGTCAGTACCAGAAGTTCAAACAATTATTAATATCAATCATCTTAACTTCATCTCTAACATGAATCAATAATTTTCCATTTCCTTTCAAATCCTGTAATGAACGTACACAATTACACGGAATAATTTTGACGATAAATAAAATTTTATTTTTTTCGCGTAAACATTGCTAAAAATATAAATATTCAAGAATTGTTTCAACAATAAGCTTCGTTATTTACAATAAAATTTTTTTTTTTGTTAACAAATGAGCCGATTCGATCGGTCCATTTGCTTTTCTTCAATCTTCTTTCTTTTTTTTGCGTTATCTTTCAACTTCTTTAAGCAATATGTACTTTGAAAGCAAAAGCACAGTTGAATGTTAAATTTCACCTCCATGTGTGTATGTGTGTGTATGTGTGCATGTGTAATGTGTATGACAATAAACTTTTTCAGGATAGTCAAAAATGAAAACAGACTACGAGAGAGAGAGAGAGAGAGAG